ATATTCTTAATAATAATATCGTTAAGCTTTCGATAATTTATATATAATCGAAGTTTACTATCTTTCTTTAGAGCGAATAGAATCGAATATCCTACTTTCGACTCCGATGATCTAATATAGTCTTTAGCTATATTTTTCTTAAGGTACTCTCGTAGAGCGACTTATTCCTTCTCCGATAAGAAGTATAGAGGTCCGAATATAGATTATTTTCCTTTCTAAAGATATATTTTATGGTTCCATAGCTTATATTCTAGTAGTGCATTAGTCTCTACTCTTTTCTCGAATACTAATTTTAAGTATGCATATTATAGTGAGCATTCCATAGTCGTATTATCGAAAACCCGTGCCGGTCGCACCTAGACCGTTTTCTTTACGTAGGTTTATACCGCCCCCATCTCTATTTCTAAGGTTTTATTATCGTGGTCGTAGTTATCGAACCGCACCTAGAATTTAGCCCAGTCGATAATAGGGTTATAGTATTTTAGCCATAGTATTCTAAGAACTATGTCGTATTTTATGTCCATAATGTTAAGATTCAGCCTTTTCTAGTGATCATTAATCGTTAGCTACACCGCTTTTAGCTCGTGCGTAAGTTGTGTCATGATTATTCCATCGAATCCAGTAATTAAGTCGGATTTCGGCCTTAGAACTTTCTAGCCTTATAGCTTCTCTACTACTCTTATATATACGAGGTTCCCTATATATTCTAAATCTATTAGGATACTAACTTCTTAGTCTTTAAGTGTCCCTCTAAGAAATATAACTCTAGCGTTAGACCTTATGGCCGTATTTACTTTAAGTTTTAGCTTTCGCCTTTCTTCTCTAGTTTTAACTAGATGCGCGCCTCTACTGTCGACCTTCTAGCGCTGGCGTCTTCTAGGAGTATACTTTCGGTGGTATAGATGCCCCTAATTCTCTCATCAACCTAGTTTTTTAGCTAGTGAAGATAATTTATTCTTTTACCTTAGGGTTACGATACGTCGTAGTTATAGTTGTTACAACGTTAAATTAACTCGGTATAGACTTACTACGCTTCGATAGCCGTTATACCTAGCTTCTCGGGTTGTAGGTAGTCGAGATATTGCTCGTGAAGATATAGAATTAGTCGGAGAGAATAACTATGAACGCGGTTATAAGGAAATAGTTCGGTGATGAGCACATTAGGTAAAGTCTTAATGTATGGTGGGACTAGAACTCCTCGCTCTCGACATGCGCGTATGGTTACCTATACCCCGGCTTCCGCTTAATCCATAATCCTTATGTAATTAATTCGTTTACGAACCTCTTTCTCCGGGAGTCTCGTCATTCTAGTAATATCTAGGATATTCCTTTCGGTGAGAGATCGTAAGAAGGCCTCTTCTTAGTTCGTAGCCTCCCTTACTTCGCGGGTGATTTATTCTATTTACGCTATCGTTGCTATAACTCGTTCGATGGCTTCTCGAATTAGCTACCTAATTTCTTTCTCCGTGAAGAATTCTCTAGGTTCCTATGTTTAGCTCTCCCTAGTGTAATCGGGGTCTAAGTCGTATTTAGAGTTAGTCATATTATATTTAAGTGGCGTTATATCATTAGAAGAAATCTAGATTAGCGATTATCTCTATAAATTTCCTCCTTAGTGCGCGTATATAAAATCCGAGTATATATTAGTCTATAGATATTCTTAACTTCGGTATATATAGATTCTAAAGATCGTTTCTATATCTACTAATAATTCGTCTAGTTTATACATTATATAATTATATTCCGTGGTTCGCCGTAAGTAGTAGAGATCGGAGTATAGTTTTCTTATCTAATACTTAGTTCGAATATAGATCTTATTGGCTGTGATCCCCGTAATGATTATCTTTCCTTAGTTTATAGAGTCGCCTAGGCGTATATATCCTCCTTTAGCCATATTAGCTTCTAGGATTGTTTTAGCGATTTTCTCCTACTTTAGTTACTTTTCTACGGCGGCAATCTACTTCTTCTTCTATTTACATTCTTTCGCGTAATGTCCTAGCTTCCCGCAGCTATAGTAGATAACCTCTTTTTTCTTCCTAGAAGGATTCTTTTTATTCTTCTTAAGGTTACTTCGCCGTTTTTACGCTTAACTTAGATTCATAGATTAGGGTCCGTAGTATAGCTTACGTCTTTTCTAAGTGTTTATCTATTGAGCCTTCGTAACTTATATCTTTCTAGGGTTATAAAGTTCTTATTACCGGTATTCCTTAATATCGTTGTCTTCTTTAATAGCGATAGTAATTTAGTTCTCTAGGGTAGTCTTCTCGAGGTGTCGTAGTTCTCACTTAATCTTTAGTTTTAACTCTTCTCTAAAGATTAAAATAGTAATATTATCTTACTAACCTAGGGCTATATTTAGTGTTCTAAATTTTATCGCGTATTCTTAAACTAACCCTATCTATCGAAGGTCTACTATCTTCTTTTAGGCTTTCTTTTTCTCATTCTTTACTCTAAACACTAGCTTCACCGTTTCTTTAAACTCTATGAAGATTTCGAATAGATTAATAGTTTTATCTTCTCTATCGTCTCCTTTATTTTTCATATAGTTCTTAATAAAGAGTCTAAGCTATACCTTAGCGTCTCCTTTAAAATAACTTCCTATGAAGAGGATCTTCTGTAGATCATTCTGGAAATTAGTAGGGTTCATTAGAATATATATATTTATATAGTGAATGAAGGATATAAGCTTAAACTTTACGCCGTTGAAGGGCTTAGGTGGGTTGCCAATTTTTCCCTTGCTAACTGTTAATAGCACGTCTCTCGATGAGCTTACCACACCCGTTCCATACGCCGGTGGTGGTGCACTGGCCGTAGTCCTTGGGGTGCTTAGTGTTGATCTTAGTGTACTCGAAGTTGTCGACATCGTATTATCGTTGAGTGATAGTCGTGCAGTACGTTATGTGAGTTCGTTTATAGGTGAGGCGGGTCGGTTCGGTCTGCTCATAGGGGTCGTCTTCTACAACGGGGGTGGTAGCCAAAGTGTTAAGGATCCCTACTAATCCTAACTGGGTTAGGGTTCTTAGCAACAATCCTAGAATAGCATGAGCTAGTTGGGAAAGACACAAGGTATAAGCAGGGTTCTCTATTACTAAGAACTATATAGTCCAGTAGATAACATAAGTTGGCTACGAAGAGAGTGTAACTATCTAGGGTAATGAGGGTGTATATATAATGCTTGTGCTCTGTGCGCTCTATGCGCTCTATGCGCTCTGTTGACAGAGCCAATAGGGCCAACAGGGCCAACAGGGCCTATCACGTAATCTAGCCTTGTTCCTCCGTGGATCCTTCTAGGTGTCCAATGAGCGTGATGAGTCGTGCTTGTGCGACTCGCAATCGGTCTTCCGCAAGGCTGTGTCTAACACTATCGTACTTAAGCTACGCTCTCTAGTTACTTAATCTTACTTATTTTTCGTCTATTAAGTTTCGTTATCGAGAGTAGATCGCTAATCTAGTTAAATTCGACGATATAAGTCTAGTTAAGAAGAATAGATTTCCATAGATCTATTAGAAGGCTAGCTAGGAAGGTCTTAGTGTCGTCAATATTAAGTCTAGCTGAAAGGCTAGTAATATTTATCCATGGAACCCGCGGAATGTCATTCGATCTAGCCTAGTTCTTAAGGACGCCGTAACCGCTGAGACCACGCCACGAACACCACCTTCTCGTAAGCGAAAAGCCCTCGAGGACGATACCTATTATACACTAGTTAATAGATGAATTTACAGCGATTCCATTCACAGAGCTAGACACTAGGAAATGATCTCAAGGTCGTTCCGCACGTTCCTAGGTAAGACGGCTAAAGAACTCGATCGTTTACAATGGGATAATGGACAGAAGAATAGGTAAATCGCTAGTCTCAAGGCTCAACTAGAGCGATCGAAGACACAGAGGTAAAAAGGCAAGGCAATTAATGCGAACGAGACCTTTGCTAGTATCGAGAGTATACAGCAGGCTAAAGAGGCATTGGCGACATTGGCGGCGACGACGACGACGACTAGGAGGACTAGACAGTCTATAAAAAAAAGGAATGGCACCTTAAACGATCCAATTGAGGCGTTCACAAACGTGTTCCACATAAACGATAGTGCTAGTTGAGTAATTGAGACTTGTTCAGTTGCAACAGTGATCAAATCGCGTGTTGCAACGCTAGGGTGTTGCATTAAGTGGGTGGTGGACTTAATAGAACTATCTTTCCGAATGACCGGTAATTTTGCAAAGTTATGACATGAGCCGAGACGGTGATATGCTCGACATTTAACTTCCCCTTTATCGTTCTCTTAAATTCTCTAAAGATTCTCTTGTCGTCAGCCCTAGAGACGATTTCTGATTCCCCTGCAGTAAGAATTCGTAATGTCTCAAATTATATCAACTTAATGTCTTTGTTACTTGGGCGATGAAGTATTTTTAGGCGTTTGATGTAAAGCGCCCTTATAATGGAGAATAGTGAGAGGATGAATCTCACAGCACGCAGCAAGGGTCCCGAGTCGAACAGTATCTTCCTCCCCAACGGTAACGAATGTTTGAAGGGCTTTCTGGAAGCGCAGGAAGGAAAGAGCGCCGTACTGAGGCCTATATTGCGTGCAGCGTCGTTCAGTGGAACGATAGCCGATCATTATGCTCCTAGCTTTGACAGCTCTCGCCAAGGCTCCATATGCTTCCAAGCTCTTCAAGCCTTTTCTAACCAATAAATGGGGTGCGTTACAATAAGAGAAGGGAGAAAATTGGATAAGTTTCTCGAAGGAAAGTTGGGATGGTGAATGGGTTGGGACTTTTGTATGCGCGAATCATGCGGAGAGGGAACAAGACCTCCACGTGACATTAGCCCTCGGTTGTCGAATTGTAGTCTGAAATTTCATCGAGGATGTTCAAGGCACTCACATTTGCTCTCTTTCGTCTTGTCTCTGTTCGTAGCTGGAGCAAAAATATGCGGATAAATATGCTAAGAATATCATTATCTTCTGACCGCTTTTTGAGAAGCCATTCTTCGGTAGGTTGGCTATCGATGCCAACAATCCGCCGAATATCCTCGACCAGCTCATTATCCGCCACTGCGCTCCCCATTACAGCAACCGGACCACCTCCCAGCGCTCCCATTCCAACATCACCACAATATGGCGACCGGATTGAAGAACGGAGAAGGAAAGCTGAGTTGCTCAAACAAGGCAAAGAGCTCCGCGCAGCCAATCAACCAGGAGGGAAGACAAGCCCATTGAAAAAAAGGTTCTGGAAAGAAGTCCACGTCAAAGAAGTCCCTGAGGGGTATCAAGTCTACTTGGACAAAAGACCCGTGCGGACTCCGTCGAAATCTATCCTCACGGTCCCGCACTCCAAGCCGCACCTAGCACATGCTATCGCGATTGAATGGGACATGCTCGAATCTGCGCAGCAAGCATTGAAGAACCATAACATCCCCATGACTTCAATAGTGGCGCGGGCGCAGGACATCAGCGAAGCAGAAGCGCGGGGGGATAGCAAGATTCGAAATGAAATCATTGCGACCATGATGAGATATCTGGACACAGATACGTTACTATGCTGGGCACCAGAATACACACCAGCCTCTGCATTAGAAATGCAAACCGAGCGGACAGAGTCACTGCGCGAGATTCAGATTAGGATAGCCAAACCAATAATCAGCTATCTCAGCACATTTGTGTGGCCTGGTGTGGAAATCAAGCCTGTGCTCGACGAAAACAACATTATGCCCACGCAGCAGGATGAAACCACGAGAAGCGTTATACGAGGGTGGATCACTGGGCTGCCGGTGTATGAACTCGCGGCCCTTGAGCGGGCAGTGTTGGCAGGAAAGAGTCTTCTCGTCGGTACGAGACTGTTGATTGAGTGGAGCGAGGAATTTCGGGACATGCAATCCAGCGGCAATGAGACGCGTTTTGGCATTGAGGAGGCCGCCGAGGCCGCAAGTCTCGAAGTACGATGGCAGACGAGCATGTGGGGGGAGGTAGAAGATACCCATGACGTGGACAACGAGGATATCCGACGGCAGCTAGGGAGTGCCATTCTACTTGTAAGTGGGAGTCGATAGTCCGTCGACGGAATAGGGTGATGAAATGCATGTTCATGCTGCCAATGGTCAGCATTGAGAAATAAGACTTCAAGGTATGTCTGAACACGCATGAATGAACAGAAATAATGCAGCTTGTGAAAGGAACCAGTATAGAACACCAAAGTATGTATCATTTAGCCCCACTATGTAGAAGCAAAAAACAATTTGCATAGATATGTCCTGAGTACCTCGATGATCTATTAGCAGAACCGTATCCAAATTGAAGCTCAGCACCGCCTTCTCTATCATCATGCCCCTTTTTGTATAGCCAATCTGTCAATTGCCTCCTCCACCCACAATATGTATAACGAGATCCTGACGTACCTCGTACCGACGCCACTTTGCTTGATGCTCGGAAAGATGGTCGTGGCACGGGCCGATTGGCAACAACCAGCCACATCTTGGAAAAGATGATGTCTGATGCCACCAAATGCTTGACTCCAACCCGTGGACGATCCCAACGATCAACATTCCGCAGGTTCTATTTGCCATGCACTTTCTTGTACAACACGCATATACCCCACGATGCTTTTCCTGGCTGGGCAAATACCTGCAAAGTCCCTGCAGTGGAGGCTCGAAGGATAGGGCGAGCATGCGCACCGCCACAGTTTGAGCAGCTGGTGAGAGCGAGGGTACAAATGATGATGCTGCTCCCCCTCGTTGAGTCCGAGTCTCTACGCTTTGGCTACAGTTCTTCAGATCTCCGGCAAGGCCAGAAGGTGAAAACTCCTGAAGCGGCTTTGTCATCACGTTGATGATATCGATTGCTCTTGTTTAACCGAGCCTGGTCTGCATCGTGCCATTCCACAAGAAACCACCAAAATCAACGGTACTGGCCATCAAGAAAACACAAGGACCGCTACCAGGTCAATCACTCGTCATACTATTTGACATGATCAAATATGACAATGAGAATCCCACTCTTCAAACGCCTGGTCATCGCGGCCTTGAACATTCTCTTTCCGCCGCTCGTGGTCCTGATTATCACGGGCCTGAATGAAGACTTCATCTTAAACTGCGTCATGTTCATCCTGGCCATTATCCCTTCACACATTCACGGCCTCTACATCTCCCTCACCTACTTCAATCGCAAGAGGAAAGTACGCAACGGGGTCTATCTGGGCAAACCGAAGCATTTGATCTTGAGCAAACGGGTGAACAATGGGGGTGCAACCAGGAGGGAAGTGGAGGGGTTGAGATACGAGAAGGAGCAGGGGAAGCTCAGCCGCCGGATCAGCCGAAGGGTTACAGGCTCATCGGGATGTGCTGGTTCCACGAGACGGGTTGAGGACTGGGACGATGGGTACCAGGAATCTGCCGTGAACCCGTAAGTCAGCAGGGATGGGAGGCAGAGGAGATGCAGAAACTACGACGAGTTCTGGGACTGGTGAGCGTGGTGGGAAGTCTTGCTGCCCATGATACTTGTGGCTGTGGGAGATAGTCTTTGACAGGCTCTTAGTATTCCAACTGGCGGGCCGTGGGAAAGAAGTGGTTGGAGGAAGCATCTCGGATTGCCGACGATAGCCAGCTATGTGCATCTCAGAGGAGACTGAGTCGACGGAACGCACAAGAGCACTCCAAGCTCTCTCATGACCTTGGCAAAGAAAAAAGGACCCCTTGCAACGAGATAGATCGGCGTGAGATCAACATGAAGTGGATATTTTATAGTTACCAAAGGTGTACAACGCTGGGTATGATAGGGTTTGAAATGTCTGTGTTTGTTCTTCCTCTACTGTTTCGTCTTGGTTTCTATATCCCTTTGAGCTGGCCTCATTTGCAGTGTCAGAGACGATCTAGAAACCAGGATCGCCTTCATTCGGACAACTTAAGCTCCAGCCGCTGTCAGAGGGGGATATCTCTCTTTCAGCACTGGTACGCTCCGCAGATTCATCTGTACCGTTGCCTCATGCTTCGTTCTTCGCAAAAGCTCACACTGCGTGGCTCATTCCAACCCGCCAACAGCTCGCGTCCATGTGTGGCCGTTGATAGTTTGCCTTGTGGCATCGTCCATGGGATATCGTATCATACAACACATTAGAAAATAAAATTTATCATGCCATTACCCATAAGCGCAGGCTCAGTCTAACGCGTGTCGCTGATTCCTTGTCTTTACCATATTCTTTTCACCGTTCGGTTATCATCTTTCCTCTCCAATGTTCTGGAGGGCGTTAGAAGGGAACAATCGGAACGGGGCACTAGCTTGTGTCGGTTGCCTTCTCTCGTTCCCTTTCCCTCTCCTTCGCTAAGTTATCCTCACCCTTGGCGGGCAAAGGATATGGGCTAAAATCGCGACTGCTAGTGCTAAAATTCGACTGTACTGGAGGATGTTTCTCGCCGTAGCTCGCACCATTACTGTTAGATTTGTATGAGCCATGTTGCAGCTGTGGAGGAAAGTCGTGATTGTTGGGTACTGGCGTATTGATTGAGCTCGGATCAGTTGACACGGGACTGATGATACCGTCCATATTCCCATCACCGTCAATAGTCACAGCATTCAGCCCGCGTAGACCTCCCTCAATGTCCCTAACCAGGCGCACGAACTCTTCGGGTACGAGTCCACTCTCGCCTGTCCTGGGATCTTCAGCCACCAACCAACCCTGGCCGTGCCGATACGACACCAGAATTATCTGTCCTTCCTTCAAGGGCAACTCATTTTGATGCTCGCTTTCGAAATCAAAAAGTGCGACAGCCTTGCCATGCATTTCCTCGTCGGGACTGGCAATGGTGAATGAATAGTCTTTTGAGAATCGGGCATCGTCTTCGGCATCCGAGGATTCGTCCTCGGACACGGGCCCTTCGTCACCATAAGGGGACGGATTGCGCTGTAGAGGTTTTGCGAAGTTGGAGTCTCGGTGTTGGGGTGCATGCGGGAATCGCAGCGCGTTGTTGTCAAAGGTATCGACGGCCTCACCCGGTCCATCTGCGTCTTCTGCATGACCAGCTGCGCCGACCACGACGCCGCGATTGGGGCCAGCTGCTCCAGGAGATCTCCCTCGCTCATTTGATTTGTGCTTTTTGTGTCTGCTGGTGGTGACAATGGGGGATTGAATATCTTCATCTTCGCTGTAAGGCGGCCCATCGTCTTTAAATGCAATTGCAGGTAATCGATCCCTACTAAAGCCGCTGGCGTTTGTTTCTGAAATCCAAGGCGGGGTTGCAGACCATTGGCCTCTGGAGTCGTCCCATGACGAGATAGCAGGATCCGACAGTCTTCTCGACTCGCTCGCCGGTGTAGATAGGCCCGATTGATTTGGGGGGGGACCGTAATGTAAAGGGTGCGTCGTCAAATAGGCAAAGTCTCGAACGAGGGTATATGAGAGGCTCGAGTGGAAGGCAGGAAAGACATAGGACGTCGGCCGGGATTGCGGAAGGTAGGAACCTTTTGAATTCGTGGAAAAGGACGACATCCGTCTCTCAGCATATGAAGTTGGTCTTTGCGAACTCGTCCGCCGCGGTGTCGGGGTGTTAGTGATTAAAGGAGGGAGACTGGGAGGAGAGGTTGTGGTCGCGGCCATAGGGGGGGACATCGTAGGTGGTGAGGCTGTGATGGTGGCCATCCTGACCGTGGAAGAAAGATGGAATCGGTCGCAAGATGTTCAGGAGGCAAAGGAGGAACAGGTCTCGCGAAGGAAGAAGGATTGAATTGTTATTCTTCGTCGAAGCGCACCTATAGGCACGAGACCAGAGCAAGGAGGGAGCGGTGGGCGACTAACAGGGTCCCAAAAAGTACCAATGGAGGCGGGTGAAATCTGGAGAATCGAAAGGACAGCGCGCGCTTAACGAGGAGAGAGTGTGTCGAGTACGAGGAAGAGAATGGAATGCGTCCCGAGGAGCCAGGTACGAGCGGCTGAAGGTCCTAGGTAGAATAATGAGCAGTGTAAGGACCTCGAGTCAAGTAGTCGAGAATCAGACGAGGCGAAAACGGTGAGGGTCGAGAAATACGGCAGATCTAAATATAGCGACCAGAGAGAGATGTGATGGGCCGAAACGCAGGGAAAAGGTTCAAGTAGTATGCCGAAGGGATTAGAAGAGCAACAAAGTCAGGCGATGGCGCATGGTGGTGGTGAGGAGGATGACAAGATGTGTGTTTGCGGCCGCAGGCAAGAGAGGAGGTCAGCGCAAGCCTGGTGAAGAGGTAAAGAGGGAGGAGTTGAGAAAGTTCAGGGTGGTAGCAATATAGGCAGGTACCTTCCACTGTAGATAGGTATTCGAACAGAGATGGAAGAATTGGGAGGAGAATCGGTTTCACTGGTTTACCTGGTTGTGCCTCCAAGTGGAATGGGATCTAATGGGACGACAGAGCCTCCAACCACGGGCGGCCAGCAACACTGCAGGCTCCCCACAGTCGCCCACTAGGCGTTTCAGATGCCGCCGCGCGTCCCCAAGGGCCAAGGCAGGGCAGCTGGGCCCGTCAGTCTGGTGGGCACTAGGGCCCAGTGCCAGGCTGAGCTTCCTCAGTTCCTCGCTTCCCTTCATGGAGAATATTAGCCGCCCTCGCCGCATCTCGCATCCAGAATCCTGATCCGCAGCCGGGATTCCTGCTGCGCTGCCTGATCTCGACAACCTCGACGTTGGCACCGAGTCACCGACATCCTCCCCAGACACCCTCGACCTCGGCAGCCACCATCATCATCACTTCCATCACAAGGCTTCATTCACGCTGTCGACCAAGGTAAGCTCGGCCAGTCCAGCAGCCCTTCATATCTCTCGTGCCCATCCTGTGATGACCATCTTATTGGAGCTGTCCTATTCTCTTGCTGCGGACATCCACAATAAATAATACGCAATTTCAAATATCTGACTGCGCCGTTTTGGATGCTGCTTGAATTTCTTGTCTGTTCAAAAATGCCAAAAGGAGCCCACTGACCCAAAACCAGCAAATATACCATACTTTTTCCAGAGCAATAACCCACCTTTATCCGTCTCACATCATGTCTACAGACCCTCGGCGCGCTCGCCTCCAGGCGCGAATACAGACACCTCAAGCCGCTCAACCGACACCACAACCTCCCCCGTCTTCTACTGTAGCTCCCTCTCCTACCGTACCTACTCCGACAGCGCCCGTTCATTCGCAATCCATTGCTCCAACAGGCCTCGACGGCAGCGTTGATACACCTACCCCACCTACCACAGCGGCGCCTACAGCGCATGCGCCCGCCACTTCGCAAGATGAAATCCCCTTCAAACTCAAATTTTGCACAGTCTGTGCCTCCAACAACAATCGCTCGATGGAGGCTCACCTTCGACTCTCCACCTCAACGCACCAATATCCCGTCATCTCCTTCGGCACGGGCAGCTACGTCCGCTTACCAGGCCCCTCGATATCACAACCCCAAGTCTACAATTTCAACACCACATCCTATACGAAGATGTACGAGGAACTCAACGCGCAAGATCCGCGCCTTTATCGAAATAACGGGATATTAAACATGCTTGATCGAAATAGAAAGATTAAATGGGGACCGGAACGGTTTCACGACTGGATTGTTGGCGCTGCCAGGATGGAGGCCTTGAATCGCGGAGACAAAGGCGCCGTGGGAACGGAGGGAGGTGTGGTGGATGTGATTTTTACCTGCGAGGAACGATGCTGGGACGCTGTGGTGGACAATTTGCTCGACCGTGGCGCACCGTTAAATAGACCTGTTCACGTGTTTAACATCGATATTAAGGATAACCACGAAGAAGCGCTTGTCGGCGGTGGAGCAATCCTTGAGCTCGCTGACAGCTTGAACGAGGCCGCCATCCAGGAGAGGCAATTAAGCGGTACACAAGGGTGGGAGAATGGGACCGGAGCGGCGAGGATGAGCTTTGATGAGAAAGTGCCAGAGATTCTTGCTCGGTGGCAGGAACGGTGGCCGAATTTACCAGCACTGTGGACTCTGTCGTGGTTCTAGAGAGACGGGGTGGCTGTCAGATCACAGGATGACACGTTAAATCGCCTAGTCCCTCATGCTTGCTCACTTAGCGAGGCGCTGGAGGAATTCCATTCATGATATCCAGACTGATAGATTCAAAAAGCGCTCAGGTCTCTATATGATTCTATAACTTACTACCCTTTTCTATTCCCTTTTCCCTCCGTTCTCTCAGGACCTCCTTCCTCAACCCGATCTCCACGTTCCTTGGTCCCTCCTTATTGAACTTCACCAGCACAACATATTCCTCATCCCCCTTCAAGCCCGACCCCTTCAACTCGGGACCTGGCTTATCCAGCGCAAGCACGCTTCTGCCATCCTCTCCGAAACTCATGCCAATCGGAGAGATAAATTTCTCCTTCCATGGCACGGGTTTCCCTTCCGTTTCAATCCGTCTCTTCAATGTCTCTCTCTTCCTCAAAATATCCGCCTGGCCCTCCCCGGGTCCATCAAGTGCCTCTGAAACCAGATAGAGGAGTAAGAATTGCGGCGGGAACAGGATTATGTCTCCGCTCCTCGCCATACTCAACCAATCCCTCGCAGTTCTCCACTCGGGGGCCATGGTTTCAATTTGGTCCGCTGTCGCGTGGACACTCGGGTTGCCCTTCTCTGACGGGTCGACGAAATAGATGTACATCTGCGTGGTGAACCGTTTCGGTACATTGGGTGGGGTGACCCAGTGGGTGAATGGGATAAGGCGGTCTGTGTCGAGGACTGCGTTGGGGGAAATGGTGGATAGCCAGGATTTGAACAAGATCTTGCCCTTGTGAACGGCTTCACGACCATCCTTTCGCACCGCCGTACTGACAGGGAGTAGAGATTCCGCGGTTTTGGATTCGCGAGCCAATAATATCCCTGTCTCTTCGAACAACTCCCTGATTGCGCCTGTTCGGTATGCAATGCTGTCTAGATGCTGTTTCACATCTTTGGGATCGGTCGGTAATTCTCCATCGCTGGGTTCTAGATTGCCACCAGGAAAGACATGTGCAGAGGGGAATGCACTAGAAGTCTGAACACGGTGGAGAAGGAGAATCTCGTTGCTTGGGGAGACGAGAATCGTGCTGGCTGAAGGAGAGGCCGGCTTGGGAGATTTGTGCTCCGAGTAGCCTCTGACCTCGAATTTTGGCTTCTGTTTCGAAGACATCGTCAAGGCTGCGTCTGTTGAGCGGCTTGTAAGGTCGCAAACAATCCGGGAGCGGCGGGAGGTGACGAATGGAAGAGCCGTGTCTAAGCTCGGGCCAGAGAGTAGGCAGTACTGTCTAATGGTCGGGCGTGCAAGGTGGAAGGGCAAACGTCTTTGTAAACGAGGATAGGGGAGCCGTTGCGGCTTAAGATATGAGCGACCGAAATCTAAAAGCGGAATATCAGGAAAAGAAGATGTTTTGCCTGGAAATCTACTTGTCGAGGTTGAGGGAAACACGGGCATTGAGGAAAGTTGTTGTAAACGACAAAGTGAGACAGGCCGAGGCTGAACAGAAGGAGCAATGGCCCGTGGGGGGAGCAAAGGGAGGTTAGGGAAAGATGGGGAAGAGCGTGTTTGATCTGACTTGCTCGGCTGACGCTCGATGCTCGAACGAAGTACTATTAATGCGCTGGATAAGACGGTGCCTTGCAGAGCCGACAACGCGCCGAGGTCCAAATGGATAAGGGTGGACTAGGCTATGTACTAATAACCAGAACGGTATGAATGTGTTTAAGGAGAGCCTTCCATCTATTTGAAACTATCTGTGGGTATGTCATTCCAATCATGAAATCATGTGCAACGTCAAACACTTGAGATAGAGTGATATCACATTCCCGGGCTGGCCATCAACGCCAGGTTCGCCTTCGCCATGCTGTTGTTTCGGCATTCTGTTCGGCCGCCTAGGAGTAGAGTTTCTTCTCGAAACTGTCCAACCCATGCACGTTCCCTTCGGCCTGGGCACTGACGGTCCGGAGCTCGAATCGCACTTTGCCGCTGTTCACCTCGTCGCGAAACTCGACCAAGCTCTTGCAGCCAATGTCTTGGAGAGAATGTTGTAGACCAGCGAGCAGGTAAGGCACGAATTTGGTGACAGAACCTCGGTCCAGCACTGCCCCCGAGACGCCCTGTGCGACCAACAATCGATCACCCTCTGAGAAGTATCTCGCCGTTCCGGCATTGCTGGCCTTGGAGTTTTTGCCTCCTCCGCCAGCCTTCTTGTCTTCCATGGCGTCGATGCTGCCCATGCCCCGGTAAGCTTTGACAAGCTTACCTTCACGATTGATGTAGGACTGGCCAGGAGACTCAGTGGTGCCGGCAAGGAGACCACCCATCATGACTGTCGAGGCACCCATCGCGATTCCCTTGACAATGTGGCCGACGTTCTGTATACCTCCATCGGCAATGCAGGGCACGCCGAATTTGGCGGCAAAGGACGAAACGGCGTGAACAGCTGTAGCTTGAGGTCGTCCCACAGCCATGACCTCCTGTGTGATGCAAGCACTGCCGCTGCCCATGCCGATTCTCAGGCCATCGGCACCTGCAGCGATAAGATTCGCGGCTTGTTCTCGCGTCACCACATTTCCAGCAATGACGTCAAGTTCAGGGTACTTCTCCTTGATGTATCTGACCATGTCGATTTGATACATGCTGTTGCCCTGGCTGCTGTCCAGAATCGCAATATCCAGCCCGGCATCAACCAATTTCTGCAATCGGATCTTATCCTCGGGCCTAGTGCCAATTGCGGCAGCCGCAATCAACTGTTTCGAATGGGGTAGTTTGGAGGCAAGAGGGTAATTTAGATTCTTGAGGAGGTCGGATCGGGAAAGGAGAGAAACTAGGTTGCCATGTGAGTCGACAATAGGCAGTTTACCTTTTCTTGACTTGCGCAGAACATCGTTGGCTTCGGCCAGGGTCGTTCCAGCTGGTGCAGTGATCAGGTCTTTTGACATGACCTCTGTGACCAGGTCGTCTGGGCGAGGGTGGAACTGGATATCGCGAGTGGTGATGATGCCAATAAGCTTGGACTTCAGCTGCCCACTCTCTGCTCGCGTTGTCAGCTGCTGCGCATACTCAAATTCAAAGATAAGATAAGTGCAAGATGCGGCGTGATTCTCAGACAGAAATCTCCATAATTCCCCATTGCAAGTTCATGCTGCGGATGAACGAAAGTTTAAAAGGGTAAGTAGCTTTGGACATCATCGAAAGACAGGACGAGGCGATGATTGATAAGCTTGGAGACGTACCAGTGACTGGGAACCCGCCAAATCCCCACTTCTCTTTCAGCTCTTTCGCCTCGCCAACAGTGGTCTTAGGGGAGAGAACGACAGGGTCGGAGATAAAGCCGTTTTCGTATCTCTTGACTTTGCGAACCATGTCGGCCTGCTCCTCGGCAGAGCAGTTATGGTGGATGACGCCGAGACCGCCGAGCAAAGCCATATGAATGGCCATAGCATCCTCAGTAACGGTATCCATAGGCGAAGAGAGAAGGGGGGTCTTCAGAGAGATTCGTTTGGTAATGGGGGAGTCGAGGGTGACCTCGGAGGCCGGGAAACCTGAGCGAGAGCGTTAGACGCACGATCTCCCAGCGAAATAAAGGAAGACTAGAACCATACCAATATATCCAGGCAGAATGAGAAAGTCGTTATAAGTGAGAGCTCCATTTTTATTCGAGTCCAGCAGTTTGTTGATGTCGAGGCCATCGCGAGTTTCGTAGTCGGACTCCAGGACTTGCAGGGCGGTCCGATAGTCCAGTTTCTCGACTTTACGCGTGATAGGGGTGCCATTGGCGAAGTCTCCGTTAGCAATCGGCATGTCGACAGTAGGATGTAGTAGAGTGCTACAGCAGAGAAGTTCACTGATGGGCTGCTGGGGTCAGGGAGGGCCTTTCCAAAGGAAGGGAAAAATTTCAGAAGGCCGCGCAGTCCGAATGAGAAATTTGAATGAAAAGGCGGAGAGCGGTGGCCCATGCGCAGCCAATCGTCTCTGTGCGGCAATTTGACCAATCATCACTTCAAGCTCTCACCAACAGGCTTGGCGCCTTGTGTCCCACTCTCCTGTTTGGGGATTTATGTAAACAAACCACTGTCAGAGACTGTACTTGTCGATTTTATCCAGCCTTCACCTCTCCGGCTGTCGATTGAATAAATCAGAGTGCTTGTCCATTCACTGTTGTTGCCTGATTCTGTCTGAGCCTTGCTACTTGTCACGCATCTGAGATTCGAAATTTGCAGCCGTCTGAGGTGCCACTATTGACTAGCTGAATGACATCTTGTGCAGACTGTTGAGGATGCGACGCAAGCCTCGAGTACGATCCAGTTCAAAGCTCGTCTACGTTAGCCCTGTGCCTGAGCGCTCTCCGGGATGTCGCACTACGCTCTTCGCCGAGCACAAACAGACAATCAGTTCGGACTTCCTCAGCGACAGACCTCAGTGGCGTCCACGGCTTCCTCCGCCTACTCTGGGGCGTCTAATGCTTTTCTCCCCAGCCGCACAAGCACCGTCACTTCGACCAACTCCAGTATCTACTCAAGAGGCTCTCCAAGTCACAAGCGAGCAAACACAGTCACAGAAGAAATGACACCCATCAGGACTTACGGTGGGAGCAGCAGCGTGGAAAACAGTCCTGATCATGTCTATCGCAACATTCGTCAAAGTCTACGTCCACTTCCTCAGGCCCCGTCTCCAAAATCAACATCCAACGCCCGCCGTCCGAGCCCCTACCATGTTCGAGCTCATACCATCGACCGTTTCCCTCAAAGTTTTTCCGAAGATCCATTCGTCGACAAGCATCTTCACGAGCATCATCAAGAGACGCATCAGGCCAAGACTCACACGCACCAAAATTCATTGAATCCGCACGCAAATACATTCAAAGCTCCCGACCTCCGAGAACTGCAAAAATCTTCTACGACCCATCTGAAAACCTTGTCAAAATTTGCACAAACTGGTGATGCCGAAGAGTTTGGCATTGCAGCCCCGGGCCAATCTGTCATTGGACTACATAATCGGAGACAATTGAAACGCACAGACTCCGTTGCAGTAGGTGCCCGGTCGGTGGCTAAGAGTTATGGCTGGGGTGAAAGGAATTGGATGGATAAACAACGGCAGTTCTTACAGGCTTACGAATATCTCTGTCACATCGGCGAGGCCAAAGAGTGGATCGAAGACATTATCAACAAGCCAATTCCGCCTATCGTACAACTAGAGGAAGCTCTGCGCGACGGGGTCACATTAGCAGAAATAGTTCAAGCATTCCATCCCGACCAAATCCTGAGGATCTTTCGCCATCCGAAATTGCAGTTCAAACACTCTGACAATATTGTCTTGTTCTTTCGGTTCCTCGAGGACGTGGGTCTACCGGACCTCTTCCGCTTCGAGCTGATCGATCTGTACGAAAAGAAAAACATACCGAAAGTCATCTACTGCATTCATGCTTTGTCATGGCTCCTTTACCGCAAAGGCATGGTTGATTTCCGAATCGGGAACCTTGTTGGTCAACTCGAATTCGAGCATCATGAATTGGAACAGACACAACGAGGCCTCGACAAGGCCGGGGTCAGCATGCCGAGCTTTTTAGGCATGGGTGCAAGCTTCGGTGAGCCAGAGCCGGAGCCGGAGTCAGTAGAGACTGAAGATGAAAGAATAGGCAGAGAATTGCATGAGCAGGAGGAGATCGTCTCAGACTTTCAAAATCAAATCCGTGGTGCGTTGGTCAGATTACGGCTAGGCGATATGATGCAGCAGCTCTGGGATGCTGAGGACTTCATCGTCGACATCCAGTCACGTGTCCGCGGCGATTGGGCCAGGCAGATTGCAGATTACAGGCTCCATATGCAACGTTTCGCCACTAATCTCCAGTCTGCAACTCGCGGGTTTCTGGTGAGATTGCGACAGGAGAAAAAGGAGCAACAATGGAGGTCCTGGGATAAAGAGGTGCTCAGGCTGCAAAGTCTCTTCAGGGCAGGTCATGTTCGTGCACAAACGCGTGCAGTCAAGTCGCAAGCACGTACTCATGAAGCTGGTATTCGCAATCTGCAAGCTGCTATTCGAGGAGCAATATCTAGGCAGAACGCTTTCAACCAGTACGAGGCTACCAGAACAACCGAAAAAGAAATCATATTGCTGCAGGCCATCATTCGTGGGATGCTGGCCCGAGCAGGACTTCAGGATGATCATGAGTTGCTAGAAAAGCAAAGCTATGCGATCACTCGACTTCAAGCGGGGGCAAGGTCATTCCTTGCAAGAATAAATCAAGATAAAATCAGGCAGGTCCTACTCAACTCATCGCCTGCATGGGTCACATTACAAGCCACCGGCCGAGCTGGTCAAGTTCGTTCCCAGCTTGCGTCCCTAAAGCAATCCTTGAGATCGCAGTCAGCTTCCATCAGCAACTTTCAAGCAATCCTCAGAGGCGCAAATGGAAGGGAAACCTATAGCTCGCTCAAGCTTTCTCTACTACAGCAATCGACCAGTACTAGGCCTTTGCAGGCTGCAATCCGCGGCTTCATTGCGCGGAATCAGCTGCAAACACAGCAACAAGCCCTGGAGAGGCATGCGGCCAAATTCACCCAAGTTCAAGCAGTTTCTCGCGGGGCAATTCTCCGGATCCAGACCGGGGAACTTCTCAAAGAGCTTCGTGAGAAGCAGATCGAAGTAATTCAACTACAAGCCCTCATTCGTGCCATGCTCTGCCGTAATCATGTTGGAGACTTGCTCAGTGAGATGGAAGGACACGAGGAGTCCATCACCAAATTACAGGCCTTTGCGAGAGCAGCCGCCATCCGCTCCCTATTTGCAGAGAAGAAGCGCTACTTTAAAGAGAACATGGAAAAGGTGATCAAGATTCAGAGCGTTGTTCGGGCAAAGATTCAAGGAAAGGCATATAAAAGCCTCACTGCCGGAAAGAATCCTCCAGTGGGAACACTGAAAAGTTTTGTACATCTTTTGAACGACAGTGATTTCGACTTTGAAGAGGAGGTAGAATTCGAGCGGCTTCGCAAGACCGTGGTACAGCACGTCCGTCAGAATGAGCTTGCGGATCAATACATCACCCAGCTGGACATCAAGATTGCTCTGTTAGTGAAGAACAAGATTACGCTGGATGAAGTTGTTAAACACCAACGACATTTTGGAGGCCACGTCGGCGCTCTCCTTCCCAACTCAGACATTGCCTCCAAAGACCCGTTCGACCTAAAAGCGCTCAACAAGGCCTCTCGCCGGAAATTGGAGCATTACCAGGAACTTTTTTTCCTCCTTCAGACGCAGCCTCAGTATCTGTCGAGGCTGTTGAGACGTATCAGAGAGCAGGCCACAGCAGAAAAGGAATGCGACCGCGTCAAACATCTAGTCATGGGTATTTTTGGTTACGCTCAAAAGCGAAGGGAAGAATATTATCTCGTCAAACTCATTGCGCGGTCCGTCAAAGAAGAAGTCGACTGCTCCATATCTCTGCAAGATTACCTCCGAACAAATTCATTTTCCAACAAGCTGTTCGGCGGCTACAGTAAATCGCCTCGAGATCGGAAGTTCTTGAGAGACATTCTCGGCCCGCTCGTCAAGGAGAATATCATTGACAACGCAGCGCTTGATCTTGAAAGTGACCCGCTTCAGATCTATGTTTCTGCCATCAACAACGAAGAACTGAGAACGGGTCGACGAAGCCAGAGAGACCCTAATGTACCAAGAGAGGTCGCAATTCGAGATCCGGAGACTAGAGCAACGTTTATTGCCCACATGCAGGATCTGCGAGACATCACAGATCAATTCTTCCTTTGTCTAGAAGACTGTCTGCAACGGATGCCCTTCGGTGTCCGATTTGTTGTCCAGCAGACATACGAGCATCTCGTTGCACGATTCCCCGGCGAAGAAACTGATTCTGTCCTTCAGCTTGTGGGCCAGTGGCTATGGCGTCACTATCTTCAACCTGCTCTTCTGGAGCCAGAGAAGTTTGGTGTGGCTGATCGAGCCATGACTCAAGAACAGAAACGTAACCTCGGTGAGATAGCAAAAGTGTTGACCCAAGCCGCTTCAGGTCGCGAATTTGGCGGTGATAATGTCTATCTCCAGCCCCTGAACAACTACGTGCGCGAGTCTATCGGACGGTTTGCTGCCATTTGGAGTCATGGTAAGTCGACCAGTGCCGATTCGAAATCTTCCAGCTAATGTTTCTCTCAGTCATATCAATACCACCAGCAGAGGAATACTACGACATTGACGAGTTCAACGACCTGTATGCAAAGACAAAGCCGACCCTGTATATCAAGATGGCCGATATTTTTTCAATCCACAAACTGTTGTCTCAAGAGATTAGTTACATTTGTCCGAATCAGGACGATGTTCTCCGTGACATCCTGAGAGAATTGGGTAGCGTCCAGAGCAATGAAAGCGAACTCAGGGGTGTCAGCTCGAGTGAAATCAGTCTAACACTAAGCCCCAAACTATTGAACTCGGAAGATCCAGACGCGGATGTAAAGACTCTTTTAACCGAAACCAAGCGATGCGTCCTCTATATCATCCGAATCCAGTCAGGCACCAATCTCCTCGAGATACTGATCAAGCCAATCGCTCCAGAAGACGAGGAGAAATGGGAGACTCTGGTCAATGACGAACTCCGCGCTGGCAATGGACGTCGTGGTGCTTATACTGACGTCAACAACCACCTCGACATCAGCGCTCTCTCATACCCCGACCTCAAGCGTATTGCTTTGGAAAATATCTTACAGCTCGAGTCTATTGGTCGCTTGACACGCTCCAATCAGTATCAAGACCTTCTCAACGCCATTGCTATTGATATCCGAACCAAGCACCGACGA